CAACTCGGCTCCCAACTCGGCTCCCAACTCGGCTCCCAACTCGGCTCCCAACTCGGCTCCCAACTCGGCTCCCAACTCGGCTCCCAACTCGGCTCTCAACTCGGCTCTCAACTCGGCTCTCAACTCGGCTCTCAACTCGGTGTTTAGTTTGTCTCGGCAATTGTTTGATAAAAAGAAAGTGGAGTGGAATGGTATAAACATTCAGCTATTTCGCAATTTGAAGCATATTTTCAACGGAAAATGGAATTAGAAGTATTTTCTTGACCAGGTAAAAGCCTCCCACCACTCAACTCAAACTCAACTCAACCGCTAACTCAGCAAATAGCCAATGCCTTTTCAGTCTTTCTTGGTATTTTTCCTTACCCATTAATTCTATCTATTTATGGACTTAAAATTACATAAATTCTATTTCATAAAGCTTTTCAAGTGTACATTTATGTGACATGATATCGTGTGGGCGAACAGACTTACGGTTGTGGGCTAAACGGTGTGGGCCAACTGACTTGAACTGCGAGCTAAAAGTACCTTCATTCCTTCAACTCGTGGGCACATTTCCTCGTAATTCCTTAAGATGAAGCTTCCACAAAACAGTTTTCACCATTACAGCCTTTTCTGGTTTTCATTTATCGCTTTTTCCAATTACTTTAAGCCAACAATCCAACATCTTATCAGCGTCTTGCACAAAATGGCGCCTTAGCGCGCGCATGCTGCCGTTAGAAGTCACGTGACAACAACACAGGTATCCCGAATAATCAGAGTGGCCTTTCGAAGGCGTGGACAGGAAGCCCAAACAAGGTAAACTCGTTGGAGCAGCAAGAACACTTACGCTATTTTGCATTGTTTTCTTGTTTGCATGTATTATTTAGCATTCTTTTAACATCTAACCCATACTTTTAACTGAATAATAAATGATATTTTTTCAACCAATATTTCATTTTCGCCTAGCAGTTTCTTCTAAAGTGAGCTCCCTGTGATCCCCAATGGAAACTGAGCCACATTACTAAAGAACAAAATTTAATATAATGCTCCTAAATGAAAGTATGTGAAATAAGCCTTGCGACAAAAAAAAAAACACTCTACCCCACTGTATTCATTTATGGCATCCATAACATGAATATATATAAATACAACATTTTAAATCTTGTTCTCAAAACAATGACACGTGGGCTGATGTGGCTGAACTTTGTTTGAGAGCGGCTTCTTGAAGTTATAAAGCGGGTTTTCCATGTCATATGCTGATGCTGTGACGTATGAGGAGGTATTTATGGTTATTTGTTGTTCCTTGTAATTCGAAATACCGGGTTTTATGTGAAAACTAACTCCTAACTAACTTAATAATGTATCAGTATAAGAGCAATGAGAAAAACAATGATGGATTTTAAATGCAATTTATCTGTGACAGTAATGTTTTGTATATTAAGTGATTACTCTTCTTACGTCACAACATTAGCATATGGCATGGAAAAATTCTTAAAACTTTAAGAAGCTGCATTTAAACTAGACAATTTTTTAGTGCTATTCGACATCTTACCCCATGTGGAATTAATACTGTAAATATTGTCAGAAGGGTGATAGGCACTTTAAATCATATGTTAAGGCCAGTACCTATATTCTTTAAAATGATTATATTTTGTAAATATAATCGTTGTAGTTGTCATTCTAGGTACAAATTATCATTGTTATTGTTGTTGTTACCTATTGGTTGCCCTACAAATTGAGCCGCATTCCCACGTAATGCAAGGGGTCTATTCCTAATTCTTTATCTAGATACTTGCGTTATTATTTATTTCACGTCAACGAAATAATAAAACTGTAAGAAAAAAATTAGCTAGTGGCAGTTCTAGCAACGGTAACAAAAGTCATCTCAGCCTTCGCTGTCATCGTCGCGTTTGCTGTCGTCGTCGTCTTCGCTGTCGTCGTCGCTTTCCCTTTCACTGTCGTCGTCGCTTTCGCTTTCGCTGTCTTCGCCCCCTTCGCTGTCATCTTCGCCTTCGCTGTTGTCTCTGCTTTCGCTGTTTTCGTCGCTTTCACTGTCATCATGCTTCTCGTTCATAACTTTAAAATGCAAGCAATAAATTTTGTCTGCTGAAAAACTTAAAATTCATGGCATATATATATTTTCATATTTTTCATTCCCGAAAGCTAGAGATTGTCATGGGCATTGTTCGCGTGCATCCTCAGTTCTAAGCATGAGATATAATTGGGACATTTTCTAGAGTTCTGTGAAAAATAAGGACGACCAATTTATTTTTCAGTAAAAAATGGCTTCTTATTGACAGTTTTCCATGTTTGCGTTGTTCGCCCTTTTTTTACCCATAAATAAACAACGAAGAGCGTCACGCATCGCACTTGGTCAAAAACGACAAGAGATGGCATATGAAGACAGATGTAAGATACTCAAATGGAACTCTTTGCAACTTAGAAGGGAATTCCTCTCTCTAGTTGAGTGCTATAAGATTGTACACAAGATGAACGGTCTAGATTTCAGTGACTATTTTGAA